TGCCTGGGTTGAGTGGTTTAAGATAAACCTTGCCTGGGTTGAGTGGTTTAAGATAAACCTTGCCTGGGTTGAGTGGTTTAAGATAAACCTTGCCTGGGTTGAGTGGTTTAAGATAAACCTTGCCTGGGTTGAGTGGTTTAAGATAAACCTTGCCTGGGTTGAGTGGTTTAAGATAAACCTTGCCTGGGTTGAGTGGTTTAAGATAAACCTTGCCTGGTTGAGTGGTTTAAGATAAACCTTGCCTGGGTTGAGTGGTTTAAGATAAACCTTGCCTGGGTTGAGTGGTTGATAAACCTTGCCTGGGTTGAGTGGTTTAAGATAACCTTGCCTGGGTTGAGTGGTTTAAGATAAACCTTGCCTGGGTTGTGTGGTTTAAGATAAACTTTGCCTGGTTTCAGTGGTTTAAGATAAACCTTGCCTGGGTTGAGTGGTTTAAGATAAACCTTGCCTGGGTTGAGTGGTTTAAGATAAACCTTGCCTGGGTTGAGTGGTTTAAGATAAACCTTGCCAGGGTTGAGTGGTTTAAGATAAACCTTGCCTGGGTTGAGTGGTTTAAGATAAACCTTGCCTGGGTTGTGTGGTTTAAGATAAACCTTGCCTGGGTTGAGTGGTTTAAGATAAACCTTGACAGGGTTGAGTGGTTTAAGATAAACCTTGCCTGGGTTGAGTGGTTTAAGATAAACCTTGACTGGGTTGAGTGGTTTAAGATAAACCTTGCCTGGGTTGAGTGGTTTAAGATAAACCTTGCCTGGGTTGAGTGGTTTAAGATAAACCTTGCCTGGGTTGTGTGGTTTAAGATAAACCTTGCCTGGGTTGAGTGGTTTAAGATAAACCTTGCCTGGGTTGTGTGGTTTAAGATAAACCTTGCCTGGGTTGAGTGGTTTAAGATAAACCTTGCCTGGGTTGTGTGGTTTAAGATAAACCTTGCCTGGGTTGTGTGGTTTAAGATAAACCTTGCCTGGGTTGAGTGGTTTAAGATAAACCTTGCCTGGGTTGTGTGGTTTAAGATAAACCTTGCCTGGGTTGAGTGGTTTAAGATAAACCTTGCCTGGGTTGTGTGGTTTAAGATAAACCTTGCCTGGGTTGTGTGGTTTAAGATAAACCTTGCCTGGGTTGAGTGGTTTAAGATAAACCTTGCCTGGGTTGAGTGGTTTAAGATAAACCTTGCCTGGGTTGTGTGGTTTAAGATAAACCTTGCCTGGGTTGAGTGGTTTAAGATAAACCTTGCCTGGGTTGTGTGGTTTAAGATAAACCTTGCCTGGGTTGAAGTATAAAAAGGTTAACAGAGAAAACAGTAAACACAAAGGAGGAGAAGTGAGAGTTGGGAACAGTGAGAGGCGGAGGGCGTCGGGGCTCTGCTCTGGCAACAATGTTGTTTTAATGTACCGCATTCATCTTCATATTCATGTAAAAAATTTATATAAATAAATTGAAGAAGAATAAAAAATCGCAATTTAAAATCATAAAAAGACATAGGAACGCAAGGAAGATCTGAATTATTTTCAAAGGTTGAAGGATTACTTGAAAATGCATTTCATTGAAGATCAGTAAGTTTTTGCGTTTGAAGAAAACGATCCAACATTAGATAAAGCTTAATACTATGATCCCGTTAACAGTCTGTGAAAGGAATATAGATGAAGTGATTTTCTAATATATGAATACAAGACTACAATATATATAAGTAAATGCAATAACAAGAACAAGATTGTTGGCTTAATATATATAACCATTAGCAACAAGACCACTAATCATCTATCTTCATTGTTTTCCTGACTACTGACGCCTTACTAGCACTACCATGTTCAGTTTTGGTCTCTATACTTCAAAATGGCCAGAAATGGTCTTGAAAAATGCCACGAAGGACCAAGATAATCCATAGTGTCAGGAACCTCCCTCTCTGAGATTCAAAGATTGAACAAAATGATTTATATCTGAAATATGTAAATATATATAAGGCATAAACAAAGCTGTATAAACCAAGTATTGAAACTATCAAGATAAGTTAGGTCTCGCCTGTCCAAAAACGTTATGGATTTGGATAAGGTAAGTATGTACTTCATGAAGTGTGTGTCCCATTTTTCCTCCATGTATATGATGTGTTGTCGAATGTGTGTATTTGGATGTTCTATGTTGAGTATGCGTCCATCATTCATTTACAGAAAACACTTATACTGCGTTTGCATATTCATACACATAATATAATTCAAGATAATTGAAGATACCAATATCATTGATTCTTAAAGTGACACTTGAGAACTTACGCAAAACAATCCAATACAAGCACTTCCGTCCGATAATCAGATTCAAAGTATTCATACAAGATAAGATATGTGTGTATGGAATGACAATCAGGAGCTGTCGTGTCCCAGCCGAGAGGCTGTTCTCCTCGGCTTCACACACCGGAGTTCCAGCCTTTGATGGTAAGATGCTCCTTTTATTTCTTTGATTTTTCTTCACTAGTTTCTTATTTATTATAAGACTTTCTCATATATTTAATTGATCGTTAGCTTCAAACCAATCGAAATATAAATTTATGATAAAATCAGTATAAATGAAACTGGAAAACGATCAAATCAACAACACTTACAAACCCATGAGCACCTTTTGGTAACCTAAATATTTCTCATCACATTAAAGTCATCTTCGGCAAAAGTCATCTTTGCTAGAGATCCCCCAAAACTTGGTTATTGTTATTTCTACTCTGGAAACTATAAAAAATATATCTAAATTTATTTGAAAATTTTAAATCAGCTTCAAATATATATGAAGGAACTCGCAAAGAAAAAAGAGGGGGAAAACAAACTAAACAAAATAATAAAGAAGTACTCAATGGGCTTATGGGCTGGACCTGAGGACTGTGAGGCCACAGAGGACGCTCCCACACCTGGACTACTGCCGCTCCTGATTGTTATTACATGTTCACTGATCTTATCTTGTATAAACACCAAGAATCTGATTACTAGACGGAAATTGTACGATATTTTCCCAGCAGGAATTTACTTGTCTATTTATTTATTTATTAAATTATTAGATTATTAAGTTTATATTATTTTAAATTAATTTAAAGAGGACTGTAAATATATAAGTAGACTGTATATTTAAAAAGTGGCGAGTATTTTATTAATTTATCCCGCTTAGTGTTTACCTGCTCACAGGTTTGGGGGTTTATATATGTAGCCTATTTATAAATAAATAATAATTTAACAATAGGTAATAAAATAATAATAATAATAATAATAATAATAATAATAATAATAATAAAACAATAAGTTACTCAGTGGTTCCTTGGTCGAAGCTCGTGGAAAGTATTTGAGATCTGCACGTGTCGACCAGAGAGGGAGGCTACTCTCTGTGTACACCTCTGTGTAATACTTGTGTTAATCTTCTGATAAATGAGTTAGTAAAATGTAACAATATCTTAGCTAAGAAGTCGATATTGCTTGGTAATGGACACTGGGCATCCTTCAGTCACATGTGGAGAACTCGTTAGTTTAAGCCCTAATGGTGACCGTGAATGTTTCTTGTTGCACTAAGACGACTCGTAATTTCTTCTTCCCTTGGGATGCACCTGTCAAGTAAGATGAAAGATGTGAACTGGTTCTGCAATACACAGCATATAGCAATATAGCAGTGAAAGATTATGTTTAATTAGAAAAACAGCTTACCCATTCCGGGTGTTGTTCTGGCATCATTACTGACAAAATTTGTTTATAGAATTAATATCCATTAATATACAATTAAATTTTACCGGGTAGAATACTTTCCAAGAATAGCGAGATCTTCGGTGGATTGGAGACTCAGTGGTCCCTCGGTCGAAGTTTGTGGAAAGTATTTGAGACTTGCACGTGCCGACCAGAGAGGAAGGCTACTCTCTGTGTAATACTCATGTGTCTGTATGACCACACGCACGCAATGGGGTCGCGTCTCCCTCCCACTCTGGACACGTCCAGAGCTCAAATCTAAATCTTATCATCATCATCGACTTTAGGAAGTAGACTATGTATTTGTTTGCTATTGAATTAAATCCAGTCCTGGTGATACATTTTTATCATATTTAGTCCCGGAGCTGATGTTTTAAGAATACATGTTAAGCTTAAATGATTATTTTGATTACGATACGAACCTCCCATTCTCTCTGAGAGATCCCAGAAATCTATTTTCTTCTAATAAAGTTAGTGATTAGTAAAGTTAGTATGTTTCTAATATAACCGTGTTTGGTGTTGACCAGACCACACACTAGAAGTTGAAGGGACGACGACGTTTCGGTCCGTCCTGGACCATTCTCAAGTCGAAATCGACTTGAGAATGGTCCGGGACGGACCGAAACGTCGTCGTCCCTTCAACTTCTAGTGTGTGGTCTGGTCAACATACTTCAGCCACGTTATTGTGACTCATCGCCAACCGTGTTTGGTGGTTATATTGGGTGTTAGTAATTTTGTGTCGGAAATTTTCGACATAATTCCAGGAGGGAGAAACATGGGTCAGAGTCCAATATTTAGGGCTGCTAAACACTTCATTCCTCTCCTTCAAAATTACAATATTGTTTAAATTTTAACTTGCACTGTTGTTTGGCAGTCCTTTCTAGACGGATGTCCCATACTGGAGCTGCAGGTGCTGGAAGTCGATGAGTACATTTACTGCTCGCTCTAAAGGAACTAGTTTTGCTTAGGTGGTGAGAGTAGTATTGCCTCGGCACTTTACTTTCACTCTTCTCATGATGCCCTGATTGTCTGGATGAACAGAGACTTCATGACCTATAGGACACTCTGAGCATGATCCACCACTGTCTACTGGAACAATGTCACTATTGTTTATCTTAGTTTTGTTGTTTGCCCCAGAATGATACTCCCTTAGAGCAATTAGGTATTCATGAGTCCAAACGCCTTTCCACTTATTTATTACTCCTGACAGATGTATATAGCTCTAAACCAAGTCACTCTCTCTCTGACATATGAAGAATCTTCTGGTCCCTCGTTCGTGAAGGACGCTACAGGGTTAACAAGTCACACATACATTTGATGAGATGGACTTAGTGGCTCATGTTGAAAGAGATCGTCAAAGAGGTAGGTCAGTGGTCTGTTATTGACTCGAGATTCCTATTTCAGTGACAACGGTTTGAGCTCCTGTAAATCTATCTTTTAATGGTGGAGGGCTTTCCTTAGACAGTGTTTATCTGTGTCCACCATTCATTCGTAGAAACCTCCGAGCCACGTGCTCTGGGGGATATAAACTTTCAGGAGCATTGCCGTTGATTCTGAGCAGTGAGTACCGCTTTGGGGTTCCAGACTTCTCTCAGACATGCTTCCTGTGCCACTAGGTTGGACCCATTGTCTGAGATCATCAACTTGGGGCAGAAATGTGCTTGTGTTTGTGAATGTGTAACACTGTTAGCCTGCTTACTCTGTGGTGACGGGGGAGAAACATTGGATTTTTTACCTCTAGGTCTTTTTTGGCGCACTGCACCTTAATATGCAATAACTGTGTTGGTCAATCCAGAGACCCATATCATTTTCATGTTTCTTACGAACGCTTTCAAAACTGATCCCGAACGCTTCAGTTTAAGCCCTTTTGACCCAATAATTTAGGGTACTAGGGAATTGATATTTGATTCCCATTTTCTTTAGGAAATCAAACACCCTTTGTGTGACACCTAATAGTTTGTTAAGTTCAGAGTACCGATTAGGATCAATCACCAAATTTCGAGGTGGTTCTGGTTTCTCAGTGGGAGCAGTGACATTGGTCACAATGACTTGTGGCTTTTGTTTAGACTACTGGTCACTGACTAGCCACTGAGGTCCATTGAACCACAGCTCTGCTTTGGTTAATAGCCATAAAGTTAGGCCTCTGAAGAAGTAGTCAGCTGGATTCTCTTTGGAGGAACATATCTTTGTTTTTATCCTACTGACAACTTTCGTATTTCCTTAATGCATTTACTCACGTAAGGAGTATTACTATTGTTATTTCTCGCCAAATGCAGTACTGCCTCATTATCTAATCATACCACTGGTTCTTTAAAGTGGAGGTTACTTAATGTTTTGGTCAAATAATGAGTCAATCTAACTCCTAACAGTAGAGTGGTTAATTCTAGTTGTGATAATGACCGCTTCTTTAAAGGTGCAACCCCAGCTTTGGATGTAAGCAGACATACCTACTAATTTGTTACTAAATAGGCCACAGTGTCATACGCCTTGTCTGAGGCATCACAAATCATATGTAGCTAATAATCAGGTTTGCCTTTATGGTATTGCGAGGAAACTTTAAGGATTCTAGGACACTTAGATCCATGGTAAGTTGCAGTCACTTTCCTTGTAATTGTAAAGCAGTGGTTAGTGGATCGTCCCATCCTACTTTTTCTTGCTAGCAGTGATGCATGATCAACTTACTCTTTATTAATATGGGGCTTAATAGTCTCAAGGGGTTGATAGGCTTACTGACTTGTGATAGTAGTTTCCATATAGTTAGGTTGGTAGTATCTGGTTCCACCGATCTGATGGTCAACTGATCCGAAGTTGTGTCCCATTTGACACCTAGTTCCTTTTTCTTCTGGGTTACCTTGTAGTCGAAAATTCTGATTCGATCAGTTGATATAAAGTAGTATTATCCAAGGCCCACAACTGGAGAGGAATATTTGTTCCCAACAACTCTTAATTGACCTCATGATATATGTTTATCAGTTAGCTTTCACAGCTACTGGTTCTTTGGAAATTGTCCACATACAGGTTGTTGCTAATTTAAATAACACACACACACACACACACACACACACACACACACACACACACACACACACACACACACACACACACACACACACACACACACACACACACACACACACACACACACACACACACACACACACACACACACACACACACACACACACACACACACACACACACACACACACACACACACACACACACACACACACACACACACACACACACACACACACACACACACACACACACACACACACACACACACACACACACACACACACACACACACACACACACACACACACACACACACACACACACACACACACACACACACACACACACACACACACACACACACTCACTCACTTCGCTGGAAGACAGAAGAGTTAGGGGGGACATGATCACCACATTCAAGATTCTGAAGGGGATTGATAGGGTAGATAAAGACAGTCTATTTAACACAAGGGGAACACGCACAAGGGGACACAGGTGGAAACTGAGTGCCCAAATGAGCCAGAGATATTAGAAAGAACTTTTTTAGTGTCAGAGTGGTTGACAAATGGAATGCATTAGGGGGTGATGTGGTGGAGGCTGACTCCATACACAGTTTCAAGTGTAGATATGACAGAGCCCGATAGGCTCAGGAATCTGTACACCTGTTGATTGACGGTTGAGAGGCGGGTCCAAAGAGCCAGAGCTCAACCCCCACAAACACAACTAGGTGAGTACAACTAGGTGAGTATACACACACACACACACACACACAGACACACACACACACACACACACTCACACACACACACACACACACACACACACACACACACACACACACACACACACACACACACACACACACACACACACACACACACACACACACACACACACACAACTGCTGCCCTGGCTCTCTCCTCCTTCGTCCTGTCCCTCTGCAGGAATACTTTTTTGTATCCCTCCATATGCTGCAGAACAGTTGATTGACAGTTGAGAGGCGGGCCGAAAGAGCAAAGCTCAACCCCCGCAAAAACACAACTAGTAAACACAACTAGTAAACACACACACACACACACACACACACACACACACACACACACACACACACACACACACACACACACACACACACACACACATCAAATTCTTGTTCAGGATAGTATATATATTTAAAATCTCAGTGTAGCTCATTCTGGGTAGAAGTTACCGCTTACGGGAACTAGTGACACACGCACGCACGCGCACGCATGCACGCACGCACACACATGCACGCACGCACTCAAGCCCACGTACGTATGCATGCACACACACACGCACATACAGGCTAGAAGGGATTAACACCTTTCGTGGAAAGGAGATAAAACCTCTCATAATCCACCCCCTCTCTAACCCCTTCTCTTCCCCCTCTCTTACCTGCCGTAAGCTGAACCGCGCACACACGTTCTCTCTCTCTCTCTCTTGTTCGCTTTCTCTTGCTCTCTTTTGGTCTCTCTCTCTCTCTTGCTCTCTCTCTTGCTCACTCTCTCTCCCTTGCTCTCTCTCTCTCTCTTGCTCTCTCTCTTGACAAGGGGCAAAATGGCAGGAGGCTGCAACAGGGACACGGGAAGCAGCCAGGGTGATCAATTGAAGGAATTGCTAACCCAAGTTCTGGAGGAATTCAGGAGGGAGATGAATGAAATGAGGATTACAATTAACAATCTGCAAAGTGAGCTAGCATCAGCAAGGGAGGAGATCAAATCTCTCACAGAGAAAAATAAGGAGATCAAGCATCAGATTATCATCCAAAGGGAAGATGGGAATGTTACATTGGAAGGAAATGCCTCTGTACCTGAAACATTTGCGGATATACTGAAAAAGAGCTCGGAAGCAATGGACACAGTGAGGGAGGTAGCGATGCAGGCAGCTACCTCACAGGAAGCAGCAAGGTGCACCACTCAACTGCTGGAGAGAAAAAGATCAGTGGTAGTTGTAGGTATCAAAGAACAGGAAGGATCCAACAGGCAAGAATGGAATGGCAAGGATAGAGAGGCATGGGAAGCATGGGCAGGGAAAACCCCAGGAGAAGGGGTTACAGATGGAAGGGGCTGTACATAACATTGAGAAGGTTTTCAGGTTGGGCTGATACAACAAGGACAGAAACCGACTATTAAAGGTGGTGCTTACAAACGAAACCACGAAGGAGGATATTCTCGAAAGGAAGAGTCATCTGCAGCATATGGAGGGATACAAAAAAGTATTCCTGCAGAAGGACAGGACGAAGGAGGAGAGAGCCAGGGCAGCAGAGGCAAGGAGGAAGCGCAGGGAGAGAGGAGCAAACCAGGAAATCACAGCCCCCCAACACAACAGTCCCAGAGACAAGAGGTGAACCCAAAATCAGCATCCCAGCAACACCTGAATGATTCACTTCTCATAGATGCATTGGTGCATTTTATATCATGTTGCCTCAAAACTAATAGGGAAGGTAGTCGAGGACGTAGACCACTGCGCTAATGGTCACATTGTATATGGTGTTGACATCAACAAGCTCTCGTTGTAGCTCATTGTACTTGTTCAATACTCTTACGTTGAACAGATGTCTCCTTAAGTCTATACGGCTCATGTGGGTGTTTACTTCCTAGCTATGACATTTATTTATGACTGTGTCAATTCAATTTCTTTCTTTATTATGCGCCCCATACCCATCCTGTGGGCGGTGGTGGAAAGGGTTATAGAGGCACACAATGGGCTCAGGGACTGAACCTCATAGTTCGGTTAGCTAAGCAAGTGACAATCTTTTGAAGCTAGTTACACAATTGTTAATGTTACATACACATATCCATATATATATATATATATATATATATATATATATATATATATATATATATATATATATATATATATATATATATATATACGACATATATATATATATATATATGTCGTACCTAGTAGCCAGAACGCACTTCTCAGCCTACTATGCAAGGCCCGATTTGCCTAATAAGCCAAGTTTTCCTGAATTAATATATTTGCTCAAATTTTTTTCTTATGAAATGATAAAGCTACCCATTTCAATCTGTATGAGGTCAATTTTTTTTTATTGGAGTTAAAATTAACGTAGATATATGACCGAACCTAACCAACCCTACCTAACCTAACCTAACCTATCATTATAGGTTAGACTAGGTTAAGTAGCCGAAAAAGTTAGGTTAGGTTAGGTAGGTTAGGTAGTCGAAAAACAATTAATTCATGAAAACTTGGCTTATTAGGCAAATTGGGCCTTGCATACTAGGCTGAGAAGTGCGTTCTGGCTACTAGGTACGACATATATATATATATATATATATATATATATATATATATATATATATATATATATATATATATATATATATATATATATATATATGTCGTACCTAGTAGCCAGAACGCACTTCTCAGCCTACTATGCAAGGCCCGATTTGCCTAATAAGCCAAGTTTTCCTGAATTAATATATTTGCTCAAATTTTTTTCTTATGAAATAAGAGAAGTCCTGGGACTTCTCTTATTTACCATATATATATAATCGATTTAAACAGGATTGAACAGCAACAGTTGCAAATTGAAGAAGATACTAAAATAGGATGGGAAATATATTTAGAAGAAGAGACAAAATCGCTACAAGACGAGTTAACAACTTGCCCTCAGGGAAGAGATTCCCCTGGAGGTAATGGATTTAAAGCCACTCAAACTAGTGCTATTATATACTCTCTATCCATGGTTGGGTTAGGATAAGATTTGGTAAGGTTAGGTTAGGTTTCATTGTGTTTGATTACCGTGATATGGTGTATTATTGACGAAAATGTGAAATATGGAATTCGAAAACTATTTGAGTGTACCCGAGAATTAGTTTACATAAAACCAAATTCATCAGATTTTCAAAGAAAATGTTTTCAGCATATACTTTTTACATTTAAACAAATGATTCGTAATACAATAAAGTTATAACTTGAGACCATTCTGTTTAGGACAAAAGGTCCACTTGCCAGTTTACAAGTAGACTATTATTGGAACCTTAATATGCTTTCAGATCACAAATAACTAGGTAACTATCCAGGTGGTTTGACATGGGGGTTTGGTCTCTCGTGGTATTGAATTTGCTCTGAGAACGCACTGTGATTTAGATAGGCTTTCAAAATGGATTCTGAGCTTAGGTAAAAATAAGAGACGAAGAGACAGACCCAAATATCAGGTGGACAATGTTGAAATTACGAAATCTAATTTCTAGCAGTACCTTTAATTCCTTTAGATCTTAGGCCCCCACAAAAATGTATAAATGTACAGAATAAGGCAGTAAGTCATTTTACTTTCTAATATATTTCACAAAAACTATAAATATAAATTTATCATATGCATTTACATCTCTATGGCAATTTATCCGAATTATAATGTTCATTGTTAAAATAAAGATAGGCTTCATTTATTTTGAAATAAGTGAGATTTTCAGAATTAATATAATCCCTTTAATTAGAATTATGATAAATTTTCATTTTTAGAAATATGAGGAGCCCTCGTTTTAAAATTATGTTAAATGTTCTTTTAAAAAATATGTTAGGATTTTATTTTTTTTAGAATTTTCCGTTTTTTTTCCTAAAATTACAGTATATCTTGAGGTTATCTTGAGATGATTTCGGGGCTTTTTAGTGTCCCCGCGGCCCGATCCTCGACCAGGCCTCCACCCCCAGGAAGTAGCCCGTGACAGCTGACTAACACCCAGGTACCTATTTCACTGCTAGGTAACAGAGGCATAGGGTGAAAAAAACTCTGCCCAATGTTTCTCGCCGGCGCCTGGGATCGAACCCAGGACCACAGGATCACAAGTCCAGCGTGCTGTCCGCTCGGCCGACCTGCTATAACATGATTCTAAATGTTAGAATCATGTTCTAAAACTAAATGTGTTCATGTAAATGTTCTAAAACTAAAATGAATTAAAACATGTGATTATGTTGCAGTACCGGGGTGTGGAGGGTCCCAGATGGAGGCCAGGTTTGACAGCGACGAGAAGTTGATCAGCGCCTGTCGAACTGAGATTGGTGAATGGTTCTTAATGTGGTTTAACATTAAGAATATTATTCCTTACTACATCGATTGCGTCGTAAGTTACATTTTTAAATTGCATGCTTTTGAAATTCAGTTACGAATTGGTGTTTACACAAATATTTAGTTTTTGAATATCAACCACCACAAGATAGAGTTCGGGAAGGTCAGGCGACCTTAGCCATATTTATTTAGTGTTGATACCTGGTTGATACCTGGTTGATGGGGTTCTGGGAGTTTTTCTACTCCCCAAGCCCGGCCCGAGGCCAGGCTTGACTTGTGAGAGTTTGGTCCACCAGGCTGTTGCTTGGAACGGCCCGCAGGCCCACATACCCACCACAGTGTAAACACATGATTTTACTATTTGCAGATTGACGGCATGAAATTACAATATGACAATGTGACGCGCACTACCAGAAATGACCCAGGCGTGGAGACCAGAATCCCTGGTTTTGGAAACACATCAACAGTGGAGTGGCTAAGCAAAGACCATCTTTACGTCCTGAGTTACTTCCACGATATAGTCAGCAGTCTCATTCCCCTTGGCTACGAGCGGGGTGTTTCCGTCAGGGGAGCTCCTTATGATTTCCGCAAGGCCCCAAGTAAGCTATTACTAAGCATTCAACACTTAGGGTGTACAAGTATGCAAGAATTAAGTGTGTAACATTGGGACTGAGACTCCTGGTTCAATGTTGTTTTTGTTTTAGATTCAGCTACTCAGAACAAAAGTTCCAAGTAGCACTGGCTGTGGTGAGCCCGTAGTGGACTTACCTGGGACTCCCTGTAACTCCTGTAACTTCCCCTGGTTCAAGCTTGACTAGCGAACGTCTAGAGTCTAGACAAGTGTTTTGCCTGGAGGCCGCCGAAACACGGTGACGCGAGTTTGACCGCTGGGTCTTAAAAATTTTGCCCCGTGGGGCGAGTTTATTGGGCAGCGCCACTCATCCTGTGAGTGGACACACCGCCATAGCAGCATGTACAACACTCCCCAATAGGAAAAAAACCCGCTGGGTTGTTCATCCTGTCACTTGTACCCAGACACAGCTGGGACTTGCTTAACTGTCTCCAGTGAACAGCTCCTCAAACAAGAAGATTAACATCTGTTAACCCTTAAAATCTTACGTTATCTTGCGGGTGCAAAATAGGGGAATCTTTTAAGAACAGTATCAATATTTGACAAATAGTGTTTTCCTAACTCAAACAATGTGGGGTTTATTATTCTGCACATATGTCTAATGTCTCTCAGGTGTTCACATTCTCTCAGGTGGTGGTCAAGGCGGTGTCCGCCACTCTCATCACTGCAACTCCTCTGCTCAACTGTTGTTTCCATTCTGAATCTCCATGGATATTTGTATTTAAGACAAATTCTTGCTATTACTGATTCTCTCCCGCGGCCACCTCCTCTTCGTTCATAATGATTGAGATTGCCAGCTGCAACCACATTGTACGAGCGTACAGATTCACTGATTTGTTCTTCTGTCCTCCTTTTCTCAGTAACCTTGTCACGGTGATGTTGCCTGATGATACCTCTAATTTGTGGAGGAGTCTTGGGTATGAAGTATTCAATATGGTCTCCTTCAGCGCCTTCAGCAGCCAGCACATCTGCTCGTTCATTTTCACAGATTCCAACATGGGAGGGGATCCGCAGAAATTAGAAATTTGACGATTCTTCCTTGATTGGTTAATACTCTCACCGCTCTCTTGATCTCAGCGACTATCGCAAGATTTTCTGCCCGATTTTAGTTAGGCTTTGTAGCGCTGCTTTAGAATCAGTGCAGATCACTGCACCGTTAATGCTTCGTTCAAGGAATCTTAACGCCATAACAATGACGGTTAGCTTCACTTGTGTTGAAGAGGCATAGTTCTCAATATGGGTCTTTATACTGCTGGCAAGCATTCCACTTCGACGGCCACGATTGATATAACGCCTCCCGCAATTATCACGGGGACGTTGATAGATTATTCCATTTTCCGGTTGGATCTTCAGCGGAGCGGATGGTATTCGGTGGCGGCTTGGTTTAGAGGTTCCGGGAGTTGGTGGATCACATCCAGCTGTCCCCTAAGGGTATGATGGGCATCTGGCTATAACTGTGGAGGTCACTAGAAGACGTCTCTTGCCTTTATACCCGACTGGGCTAGAATTTTAGCACGGTCCATCTTGTCCGTCGGGGGTTACTGGATATCGATAGTCTTCCAGCTGATTGTATGCTGGGGGGTGGGAGTCCGTCGCTCGCCTAACTAGGGGACGCTAGGGGTCGCTAAACACTTGCGTCCCAGTGTGTTTTTCTGTCGCAAGCTCTGTAGTTTCCGGCGAGAGGCGGCGTGTAGCCCTCGAGACGCTGTCTCCAGCGCGTGCGCCGCCGTGGTCCTTAAATTAACACATAATAACTGTTAATTTGATGTGTTTTCTTTCACTAAGAAAGGAAGATAACTGGGCATGTGGTATACCATCTTGGTACAGGAAGATAACTGGGCATGTGGTATACCATCTTAGTACAGGAAGATAACTGGGCATGTAGTGTTCCGTGTTGAGACAGGAAGATAACTGTACAGGATCATGCTTAGCTTACCTAATATTTATTCTCACGCTAAAAGGGAGCACAGTATTTATAGGACAATGGTGAACTTCTATAACAGAAGGAGCAGAAACTTGGTAGATACTTTCCTTCGAGAGAACATTCAAGTCCAAGATTGTATATATATTTGTAACTTTTGTTGGATATTTCCAACACCGAATACAACACTGTTATATTCTCATTACTTATTACTAACTATACTAATTATTGTAGTAAGTAAAATTAACAACACGTAGAATTCTCATGTACTAATAATTCCATCTGTACAGTTGGCTAGAATTCTCACGTCACCCGACGCCAGTATTGCGTCAGATTTCCTTACAGTAAACACATTATATCCAATGTATGTGAGAATTAAATTCGATTCTCTATAACTAAGGCATTCTGTATGATAACTAATTGCAGATGAATTGACCTCCAACTAATAGCCGAATAGAGCGTTGGAGTCATAGCGTTTATCTCGTAATAAAGCTAACGTCACCAGTGAATGCCATGGGGAGATATTAATTCCTCTCCCTTATATATTTACTATTCTTAAAGTGGTAAATAATAATAATTTCCTCCTCTAAATAATAAACCCGTCCAGTCTTCAACGTATCAAGCGTAAATGTGAGAAATATTAATGTTCGTGACATAATTTGTTTTATGAACGCGCGACGCGGCGTGGGTTTGAGGAGGATCAACTCAGTACACGTGCAGAGCCGCTCAGAAGCAGACCTGCGCATACCATACTCACAAGGAGACGCCATTGCCCAGCCACTAGGGCAGACGTTATCCATCCTCAGATGAAAGTCGCCACTGTGAGGCGTGAATAACCTTGCAGATAATATCTTCAGCTAGTGCTGGTGTCAAATAAGGAGCCTTTTAACCTGGTTCTTGACGACATGTGACCAGCCAGCAAAGCGCGCCACTATCCAGGATAGGCCTAGCCGGAGCCTGGGGACGCGAAGCACGGCAATCTTAAAACTTATACAGTGCCCCACAGCTAAGTATATTCCTTTATGTGATGCATCGGGTAAAGAGTTTAGTAGTAGCTGGGTGATTTACCGTTATGACGCACGATAACATCTAATAACAGGTGATTAAATTTTGTCACCTGTAACTCTCAATTTCTTGAATATATAGATTCAGTAGTTAAATTAGTTGCTACTGTAAATATTTGTCTTGCAGCACGAGAGAAGAATTCTCCATGCCGCCTTCTCCCATGTTAATCCGTCTCATTCGTCAGCCGACCGAGTCCAGAGAATAAGAGGAACTTCCATGGCTTGTCTAAAGGAATCGTCATTAAGCTAAGATTTATTTTCTTTCATGATTCTATTGCAATTTCTTATGTGCAGAATTCCTCAGGATTAATATGTGGTTTACTGTAACTCTCATTACTATACTCATAATCTATGTTCCCATTTATGGTAATGATATCAGTTTCAATATAATTTTTATAGGATTAGATTATTATTAATTGAATTAGTGAACGAACCACACTAATTCCTGGACGTACTTACCTCCAGTAATAACCCCCCCAATGTAGGTTCTTGAGGGTTTGATTCATTTAATTATACAGCCCATTAATTATTTCTATGATCATATTTTCTAGTAATTTTATCCATAGTTACTGGTTTCATCTAGGAATTATCTAATGATCAGAAATTTTCAGTTTCCCTCTTTACTATAAAAGCGGGTGGTCCTTCGTAATTTAATTTACTACATTAATATTTAAATAATCAGATTCAAGCCCCAAATATCCCACATTATGGTCCTTATCGAACCGGATAGGCATTAAATTTATAATTAAAATATTAATCATTAATAACTAATCCTTGTGTGACATAAACTAGACTAACTATTTAATTAATTGTGTCAACTAACAGTAACACATCAGTTAGTCTAGATCACACTAACATATTGCTACTTTCACCTCATGTATAAGGTAGCTTTAGTGGGTCATAACCAATTACCCACAACACTTAGACCTACACTTCATACTGAAGTAGAATCTTTAGGTCACCAAGAGCAACAGCTTATAACCTTATATTAATCACTAACACCAATTAAGTGTTAACCATTTAGGCTATACCAATGTTTCAATGTATGGCTGTCAGCAGACTGTCCATTATAGCCTGAATCCATGTTATAATTACTGATTCACTCAAGTCAGTGGATCATTAACATTTAGGGATCCAGTATACTAATATAAATTACTGATCTCATACTAGTTAATCATTACTAACCCTGATAACATTTTATTCCACAATTAGGAGTACATTCAGGAGTTAGATAATATTTACGGCAGTAGAATACTTGCCAAACACAATTAATTCTTTTGTGTTCATTTAATTTCTTATACACATAATTACACAAGTGTATATTATATAAAATACAAAAACCCAAAAATACAGCACAATTATTTGCACATTACTGCACCATAATATAATCTTTGCCAACCTTCATTAGGTAGCAATTTAGGCTGTGATTGTGTTGAATTTGGCACAAGCACAGACTAAATATAGTTGTAGTTTCTCAAGTAGAAATTCCCACGACTAGGCTTGAGCTAGTTAGTGACACATATATTATTCATTTTTGTGCTGACCCTATCAAGGGTGGGATTAACCATTTATTGTGTAATTATTTTATTGCATATTTCCATGTATGTCTTTGAGTGTTACTGTAAGTCCACTACCCATCCGAGGCTGATTTAGAAGAGCTAAGCTGAGGAACACCTGTAGTGAGACCAAGGTACCACTCAAATCTTAGTTGCTTATTATTAGGTAGGTAGCTAACCTCTAAATGAGGTAAATTACAACCAGCCTCAAGAAATATCAGGCTGTCAATACTTATACCTGCTCTACATCAAGGAGCAGACCATAGCTATACCACTAGCTACATAAGCCCTATTAGGCTGTCAATAATTATACCTGCTCTGCGTCAAGGAGCAGACTATAGCTATACCACTAGCTACATAAGCCCTATTAGGCTCTCAATAATTATACCTGCTCTGCATCAAGGAGCAGACTATAGCTATACCACTA